GCTGCCGAGAGGGTCAGCCCCTAACCTATAACCATAATGCTCGTTCCCTCTCCCCAGGTGCAGCACCCTGCACTTGTCCTTGTTGAACCGCATCCTGTTTCGATCTGCCCACTTCTCTAACCTATCCAGGTCTGCCTGGATGCAGTCCCTACCTGCCAGTGTATTCACTTTACCCCACAGCTTGGTGTCATCAGCGACCTTGAACAGGGTGCTCTCCACACCCAGCTGCAGCCCTGTACCCCACTGAGAGCAGATATATTTTTCCATGGCAAAAACTGAAAACCTGGATTTCTGATCATGATATTAGGATCCAAATAAAACTTCTCATCTACCAAGTTGCTGTCATCCCTACCCTGTTCCATGGGTGCAGAACTTGGACAAAACTGGAAACAACTAAAAGCTTTGGAACATTTCTATAAGCAATGTCTTTGGAAAGTCCTCCAAATCAACTGAAAGGACAGAAGAATGAATACTAACCAGCACCAGCACTGAAGTGATGTTTGTACAGCACCACCTCTGTTGAACAGGACATTTCATAAGGACACCTGACAACCAGCTCCCAAAATGGGTCTTACACACCCAACTCACCAATGGTCACTGCTCTAGAGGTGGGCAAAAGAAGAGATTAAAAGGATGCCTTAAAAAGCCAATCTGGAGAAATGCAATATTAACAACACCTGGGAGTGTTGAGCACTGAATCGTCCCCAAAGGCATCATGATGTACACCAAGGCATTGATTATTTCAAGCAAAATTTCCTCCCCATGGAAGCAGATAGACAAGAAACAAAAGAAAATAGCCGTGGCCCGACATAATCAGAATCTACTCCTTCCTCCTGGAACTATGCGCTATGTCTGCAGTAAGACTCATAGGAAATTAAAGGTTTCAAAAGGACCTCAGATCAGATTTAAGCAGGACCCTTCCCCAACTCCCTCATCCCAGCTGTAGTGCATAGTTCCATGAAACCAAGAGCACAATGCTTTTCCTTGGTTTTCACAGAATCATGGAAATTAAGATAGAGTCCAAACACCTGCTCTGGGGAAGAATTGGCTTACTGCTGTCATTTTAGTATTATCCTGTAATTGCTATATGGAAGAGAATCCTGCACTGTGTTTTAATTTTTTTTTCTTTTTTTCCCCTCCCCCTACACCTCAGTGTTTTGTGAGACTTCATGCTTTCCCCACCCCCCCAAATCTTCTCTGGCTCAACCAATAGGTAACTTCTTGCCTTGTGGTTTCACGAAACATGATCTGATGATTCTTCTTGTGGTTTGGCTTCCAATTTAAAAGCTATACTGTTCAAAACTGGGTTACATCTGATGATCTGGTAAAAGACTATACTCAGCTCTTTGATCCTAAACCTGGTGTAGAGAATGAGACCTTTTGTACTGTGCTCTTCATCTTAGCTTCCTGAAGTGACAATGAGCCTCACATTAACCCATTAGATAGGTCCAACTTAGGAGGCTGTTGCTACAGCTTTTTAGATCATTACAGTTCTGCAGCATATTTTGTCATTCCTTGCAGGCTCACAGGATACACATGCTGCAAACTGAGCACCTTGAAAGAAACTGACCCTCAAAGGCAAATCAATAATCTGGTATGTGTGATTGCAAAAAGATGATTGCTGCAAAAGAACACCTCTTAAAAACTGGTTTTCAGCTATTAGACCCCTGTTACTTCAATAGTTAGAACTCAATTCTGAACTAACATAACCTAGAACAATTTAGGAAGATGATAACCAGCGAACCATCTCCAACCCCACCAAGAAGAAAAGTTAAGGGAAAACATTTTCAGAGAGAAGTAGCCAAATCAGAAGTAGCTCATGTTCATCTGCTGCTACAACTGGAAGGCACTGAGGTGGCAAAGGGCACTGTTTCCTAGGCGCTCTGAACATTCAGAAGTGCAGAAGGGAGAGGAAGGCCCCAAGTGCCCTTTAACATACACAGCTGCTATAAATATCTTCCAAGTACAGAGACTTTGTTTAGCAATCCTCCATGAGAGGCATCTGTTCTAACCCTCTCATTACTGGGATGTTTTAAACTAAGTTTAGTAAGTTTCAGGTTAACATGGTATTGACACCCAAAATGCAACCTAGGGGGCAGGCAATTACATTAATTAATATACCTGCTTCAAACTAAAAGGATCTTTTACACAAGCCATTTAGACGTTATCTATGAAACGCACACAAGTAAGAGGCAGACCATTACAGTCATCTTCAGAGCATATTTTTTGCAGACTACAAGGTTTATCCAGTGTCATGGCAGACTGTATGGCAGGGCAAGTCCTCCTTAGGAACAGTGTCCAGGAATTGTGCCATCCCAGGAGACAGCCTGGGTAAGGCAGCAGGAACTGCCTAGGGTGGCAATAAGGCTAGGCCCCAGACCCTTGCAAAGGCAGTAACAAAACTTACTTCTTACTGTAATAGTTCTTATAGAAAAGGTTTGCATACATAAAGTGGTGTTTTTACTGCACAAGCCTCATCAAGATGCCACAGACTGCGTGCAGCAGCTCACTTGCTCTGAGCTAGCTCAAGTGCTGCTTCAGGCACAAACTACAGTGTTTAGCCAATAGCTACTGCAAATTCCTTAGCAGCTGAGAGGGTTAACACAGGACTCTGCCCCTTCTGCTTAATGGAGCAAGAAAAGCAACAGCCATTTTGGTAGCCATTAGAGCAGCATCAGCATGTTTCTATTCCTCCCCATTTCTATTGCAGCAAAGAAAAATCAACTTCAACATAAGACAGGCACTCCAATTGTGGAGGGCTGATCCAGGGCATGTGAGTGCAGTATGCAAGTAAATACAGGGGTGGGCAGTTATTTTGGCTGGAGGGCCATTTTCAGAATTTTGCTGAGCTGTTGCAGGCTGGAGGGAGTGGGGCAATTGATCCTTTCCAGCTTGAGGCCTGTCCACCCTGCACCCACCACAGGGAACCCTGGATGGAGTGGGCAGGGTCTCCATGGAGATCGGCTAGGACCGCTGTAGGCAGGGCATGCTGGGCCAAGCAGATGAGACAGGGCTGCAGGCAGGGAGTGGTGTCTGAGGCAGGATGGATGGGCAGGGCAAGGATTGTGATATGGTGACAGCGCAGGGCACAGCTGCAATCTGCTCCGCATACGTTCCTGTGATGTGCGTTGGTTCCGAGGGCAGGGGCATGCCAGGAATGGATTGTAGCTGTGCCACAGGCCCAGATCCCAGCCCCATGCTGTCACCGCTTCCTGATCCTGGCCCCAGCCACCCATCCCACTCCTGGACACCACTACATGCCCACCCTCCACCCCATCCCATCCACCCAGCTTGCAGGGGTCCTGAGCTGGTTTCCAGGGAAATACCACTTGCCCAGTCCAGGAACCCCAGCAATGAGTACAGGGTAGGTGAGCCAAGATAGCAGGACCATGTCCAGCAGTGGCAGAGACCCTAGTGGCAGCAGCCAGAAGGAGCTGTCACTGGAGGCTTCCAGGAAGTGGAGTCTGGCCGCTGCGCCTGCCCCCACCCCACCAGGTGCCCAGTGGTGGCAGGACTGAGCACATGCACCACGGCTCAACCTGCCCCTCACACCCAGGCCATTATTTCGTCCACCCTGGTTCCAAGTGGTTATAAACTCTGATGGGCAATTGAGTAGAGACTGTCCTCCCATTTTTGGTTCTCTGTCAAAAGGTACATTTGTTCTTGGACACTTATTTATAAACTACTCAACTGCCCATCAAGAATGACATGGAGGGGCAGGGGGGAACGGGGGGCTGGGCTGCCCCCCTCTGTCTGCTTCATCACTGCCGCCTGCAGGGACAGGGGGCCAGAGCCAGCAGTACTGGGCTTGCTGCTGGGGGGGGGATGAAGCCAGCACTGCTGGCCCATCTGCTCCGCTGTTGCTGCCACAGCCTGCCGGGGTGGGGGGCGCAACAGGGACAGAGGCCTGGGGCCAGGCTCACTCCCCTTACCCTTGCTGCTGCTGCTTTGAAGCTGGAGCCACTTCTCCCACCCTCACCCAGGGGTCCGGCAGGAACAGAGCCCAGCACCCAGCCTTATGGGCCCTCCACAATTTGGGCCCGACTCCATTCTCCCCCCATGGTTTGTGTTCAGGGCTACTCCCCATCCCCCACAATTGCCTCCTCCACGGAGCGCGGGGGGGGGGGGGG